ACTAAAATTGGCAAATTTGTTGGTGCTGTGACTTTTGTATCAGGGATGCAACTCTCTCTTTAACGTGTTTCAAGGCAGTGACTTGTCTAGTCTTATAAAACAACATTACCCCTGAACCTTGACCTTTATGTTTAAAACATAGAGCGGTTGTTTCAAGACAACCCATGATGACTGATGAGCTTCAAAAGTTGCATTGACTAACTGTTACTTCACTATCGGAAGAAGGCGATTTCTCCTACATTGACACATATGTGCTACCTCTTCATCATGCTTTCTCTTTATTTCATTCTTTTTTCTGATAATTTTTTGTAGTGATCATTTTTTTCATTGTGGTCATTGATAATGCTGCACTTCCTCGGCCAAGCTTGATCTTTATTGCTTTCTGCCTTTGCCTTCTTGTTAAACCTTAATATCTCTAGATTGACAACTTGGTTCCTTTATTCTGTAGAATTAATATGCATTAGATCTGCTTTGGTGTGTCATGTTGTCATATATATGTAGTGGACTAGTGGGGCACATGTTTACTTGCCTTGTAGGACGATACTTGGATTCCTTTGATCTCTACAGTCCACATGCTAAGTCTAAGAAACCTTGGCAAACTTCTAGGTGCTGTCAATTTTGTATCAGAGATGAAACTAGAGTCCTTAATGTGTTCTTAGGCAGTGATCTGTTTAGCCATATGTATGTATATATATGTATGTATGTATGTATGGATATATATATCTCCCTTATATTATAAGTGCCTAAGGGTGTTAAGTTCGATTTTTTTCCGTCTAATTTCTAACGCCTCTACTTTTCTCCGTTTCTTTCTCTTTCCAATTGCCCAGCCTCTTGCGTCTCTTTCCAATTGCCCGGCCTCTTGCGTCATTCTCGCCACCCACCGCCCCATGATGAGAGCTTCTTCACTGCCTACCTCTTATATTTTCGTTCTCCGGTGTTCCGATATGTCTTTGTTCTTCAATTTCCAGGTATGTCGTTGTTTGTTCGTGCTTCCTTGTATCTCTGCTTTTCAATTTTTGATAGTTCAATTTCACAGATTTTTAGAAGCTGGCATTTCAACATTTTGGAATTGGCTCAAATTTCAAGGAATTCCAAACTTCGGAAGTTTCTAGGTGCAGTTTTTTTGAAATTGAGTCAATTTTTTTATACACCTTTTCTAATTTAGGAAAGACTTGGTAAAGGAGAGGGGATCAAAACCTCCAAATCCCCACAAACAGATTGTATGCAGTGCATGTTTGTGAAAACTATTTTATCCCATAAAAATGATTTGAAGGATTTGAAGTCCTTAGAAGGTAATTTAGAATGCACTTGATCGCATTTGGTGCCCAAATCATGGATATAAGTAATCTATTTGTTGAGTTGTATTGCAGCTATTGTTTATAGTATTTAGATGTATGAACTTGTTAGATAAAAGGGGTTTGCTTCAACATATGTTATACCCGAGTAATACTTAGGGCTTGTTGATACATATTTTATGGAATTTTGGGAGTAAGATATCATGTTCTGTATATCACAGTGGCACTTCGATCATAGACATCTGCAGACGGCATCTAAAGAGTGATAGAAATAGGTAAAGTCATCATGCATGCAACTATAAACCGTTGTTTCTAAACATGTTTGAAGGAATGAGCAAGTAGGTAAAATCATACATCTATCAATCCATTTGTACGACTGTACGCTGTGTTCTGTTTATAAAAGCCAAAATTGTATTTGTAGGGAACTGCCCAAGACTGCATTTCGGGCTTAAATTCATTTGGTAACATCATCTCTCCCCTCATATTCAGCCCCTTGACAGGTAATTACTATGGAGCACTAACTAAGATGGGATCCATTCTTTTACAGTTTGTTTGATTTCTAAGCATGAATTTAGATGACTCTTGCT